CAAAAACACCTTGCTGCAACAAGCATTACCCCCACCAGCCCCTCTACCCTTGCCACCACCCCAGTAATTTATCCAGATACAGACAATACTGTCTATTCTGATGAAACCCATTGGCCAAGGCCTTCACATCTTAGTGATTTATTGAAATTTTGTTCAGAAAGATTATTTTTTGGGGTTCAGAATAGTTTGTATGAACAAACAATTAAGTGGAAAACAAATGGGTCAGTGGAAATAGAAATATATAATATCACTATAAATAAGCCCCAGAAATCAAAAATTAAAATCAAGGGGTTCTATGAAGAGGTAAATATGATGGCCGTTCCTGGAATTTGCAGTATGTAAATGAAAAAGGCCCTTGTTATTTGGTTACCCAATTAATGAATAATCAAACGTATACCCCTTTTTATGCTATTGGTGTGGAAGTATATAAGGGTGTTTAGCCAACAGATGAAGTATGGTACTGCACCAAAAAAGAGATTTATTAGGGTATCGATTAACTGTGATTAATACTACACTAGGGACTATAAAATTCACACTGCCCTTATCCAGTTTTCACATTACCTCTACATATCCAAATTGCTCAAATTGGGCTGCCATTAGATTAGCACAGAAAAGGGCCTGGCTTTCCCCTAGAAAAAATAGGAATGTGGCCGGACACTTATGGAATGGTGCCAACAGCACAGCTGCAATTTGGAATATTTATAAAGGCCACAGGTCTTATTATTGGAGCACAGCTAACCCAGGTACAGGCTGGGGTTGGTGAATATCGCGTTATTTCTGCCCTTAGTTCAATAACCCAAGAAATTGCTGACCACACTGGTGCTAAATATCACTGAGGCTGGGAAGGCATTGCAGTGGGATCTGGCATGTTCAGAAATTCAGGATTTTCTGAATGACCAGCTAATGGCCATTTGGAGTGATCTCGTGCATCAGGCCTGGCCTACTGCCCTTACAGATACTTGAGGAGTATCCTCTGTTCTATGGCCCTGGAGACATACTTGGAAATTTTCTGGGTGGAAGTGCAGACGTTCATGGTGTTCCTTCCAAGTGTACGGACCAATTGGAGGGGTGTGGGCTCCCACAAACCAAATCCTGCCAGGTCTGTGGGGAGGATGCATGTGGAATTGGATAATTTACCAAAACATATGGAAAATTAAAGTACCTGGTATGCCTAATTGATTTTTAGTCAGTGGTCCTGAAATAATACCCGACATTTGGATGGAAATAGGAGTCAATGGACACTCTGGCAATTGGAACCCCCACAGCTTCAGTGTGTATGGAAACTGAAGCCAGGGGAAGTTGTCACTGTTCATGACAACATTTGCTGGGAGGGTATGGGACAAGGAATTTCACTGACAGGACACCTGCTTTTCCAAGCTAATGATAGCGGTGTGCATGTTCAGGCAACCGTTCTGCAAGATATACATTTAATCTCACCACTGCTGCTGGCAGTAATATTATTTATTGGCCTGCAGACAAAAATGTGCATATAGCCCTTAAGTTTCAGATACCTTTTAATTGGACTGCCTTAGTACCTGATCTGTTTCAAAATTTGCTTTCACTCCTTCCAGAGATTCAGGAAATCTCTGAATTACAAGGGCAAAATTCATATGCTTCAAAATATATATCAAGTTAAAAAGTATGCTGAAGGAACATAAATCCACACCGTGTAGAGGTCAAGCATAGGAGTTTATTACACACAGCGCTGGCAGAATGTCACCTTGCCTATTAGGCTCGGAGACACTGTCAATTAATTGATTACAATAAAATATATGGATTTTCCATGGGTGGGGGAAAGCGATGGGGTAGGCAGTTCCAGACCCTGGGATAGGTCTAGCCGCAAGACAAGATAGCACATTAGCCAATGGTTAACAGGTTACATAATGTCTCTGCCCACTTGGGGTCCATAGGAATGGAGTAGCTCTTCTGATTGCCCAACAGATACATTCCTAGGGGTTAAAACAAAGAAACAGTGAAAGTATATGGCAATAAAGATTGTCTCCTTTGTGTTTTAAGGCAGACATTGGTCCCTGGGAAAGGGAGGTGGGAGGATGCCTTATCTTATACTGACATGTGCCAACCTTTCATAAACTCAAGGTTGGATCTGTGGGAAGAACATCTCCCTACAGAAGAAACTAACCACCAAAACAGGGCTTCTTTGTTCAATCTGCAACTCTGAATAAGACAAAATTATTTAGTTCTCAGCCCCAACACCTGGCAATTTGCTGACTAGGCTTATTTTGGCAAAGCAAGGTGATCTGTTTACTCCAGCTTTCTCTTAGCTGATCACTATTTGCTAGGCCTCTGGTCCCTTGACCAAATTCTGGACTTTGGGTCTGGAAAAGAGCTGGCACAATCCATATACCCGGTTGTTATATAAAATGCACATGGATTTTAACCCTTCACAATACCAAAGGATAAGACACATTACCCAAGAAGTTAATGAACACTTCAGTTCTTACTCAAATACATGCTTACAGCCAATTCTTATTAACTAAACTAAGATTTATTAAAAAGAAAAAAGAGAGTATCAGTTAAAAGACCATTATACATACAGACACGAAAACAGTTCTTAGGGCAGTTTCACCATAGAGATGGTGCTTTAGAATTGAAGAGTCCTTTTCAGAATCATTTCATCAAGTTATAGTCCAATGTCCAAATGTTCAATGTCAGGGCAGTCCAGATGGGACTGGAGATCTGTCTTATGACTCAAACTCCCCCTGAATAAAGCTTAAGAAGATCTGAGAGAAAAGAATCAGGTCCCAAGAGTTTTTATACAGATTTTTGCAGCCTCTTGACAGCACAAAGTCCTATGGTGAACAATAGGCTTTTGAAGTAACCTTGTATTTCCTAAACATCACCGGCAATTAACTACATGGATTGGCATAAGGTAATTATCCATTAAGCAGTTCATAGACTATTTACCACAAACTTTAAAGAGACATGCAGACAATGACAGTGTTACACCCAAGTTTTATCTAAATGTTAATATTTCCTTTTGATCTCCAAATTAACTGAATACAGCCCTAGACAGGAACTGTTTGGTTACATTGTTAACCTCTAACAAGATGTAGGTAAATATAGACTACTATAGTTACCATCTTCTTCCAATTCTTTAAGAATACAAGTTTACATGTCAAAGCCCAAGCCTATATAACATGGAATGGCCTTAAATACTATTTAAACACTTATAAAGCATGTCTCTAAAGGTTGAATCTGGGTCAAGTAGCCTGCAAGTTGCTTCACCCTTTCGGGCCATGGGTCACAGAAGTTTAGATGCTGGATGGATTCTCCTATGTTTAATGAGGTGTGATCTCTGTATGAAACTTTTCCCACAGTCCAAGCACTTATGGGGTCTCTCTCCTGTGTGGATTTTCTGATAATAAT